AAACCACAAACGTCTGCATTCAATCCGTTCTTCGACTCCGTTCGCCAGAACATGGAGCTCGCTCATGGAATCACAGAGCGAATTCCTCTTCGGCTTTCTCGAGGCATTCGACGGCGTATATCAGATTTGCCGTTTGAGTGGCTTCGCCTGATAGCAAGTAAGGCGGCGCCCTTGACGCCTCCGCTAGACCCAACTGCCATACGAGGTCACCAAGACTCGAGTGGAGATGAAAGTAGCGACTCGAGTATCTCGAAACTTCATCGGTGGCGACATTTTTCTCCCGCACCATCGCCTGGCTCAATTATTTCGCCGCCGCCGCCGTCGGGCGCCACTTATGTTCCTCTGGATGCTAACATCGACGAAGGAACCGAGTCTCTTGCAATGCAGTTCTATCGAATAGAGCTCGCCGAACAGCGGCGACTCATGAACGTTCTCGAGCATCATGCACGTGAGAGCAGCCACATTGTGGCCGGCCCGTCCAATCTCACGAATTCCTCTGTTTCCGAAGCTGTCAGAACCCCCGACAACTTCAGCGACCATCCCTTCAGCATCACCGCCGGTGTGGAAAAGGGTAGCAAGAATCGGTATGTCTTTTCCCGTCAATACGAAGCTAGTCGTTGATTGATTCTTCGCTGAAGCTATCGGAATATATGGCCGTTTGAGCATGCGCGGGTTCGCCTTCATCGTCTGGCATCATCAATGCCTGCGGGAACAACATCAGAACTCGACCTCAGTCTAAACAGGCACAACCGATTGGCCAAACCTGTTGAGTCGCCTATTCGGTCGCCCAAGCACGATGACTACGTCAATGCATCGTTTGTGCAACCGATAGGCACACGCCGACGGTACATTGCGACTCAGGGTCCGCTTGAATCGACATATGGAGACTTTTGGACGTAAGGCTAGTTTCGCTACCTTTGGTCTTTTGCTGATGGTCCTCATTTAGGCTCTTGTGGCAGCAGAACATCCATGTCATCGTGATGCTCACGAAGGAGGTCGAAGGGGCGGTGATCAAATGCGGCAACTACTGGCATTCCGGCAGGTACGGCCCATTGCGGATCGAATTGCTTGGGTGCGCCGCAAACGGCTGCACAGGTGTTTGTCAAGCTTGTTCAGGAATCAGTTCAGATACAATCGGCTCCGGTGCTGGGGATTTCTTCTCCGGCTTCCGGCCCACATCACAACGAAAGAATTCCCCGCTACCATCGCCCTCGTCCCAAATCATCAAACGCACCATCCGACTGACACACGAAGGACATCCTCATGCCCCGCCGCGGCGCGTTGTGCAACTGCAGTACCTCGGGTGGCCCGACATGAATGTTCCAGAGGACGCACGGGGTGTTCTTAGCCTCGTCTGGGAGGTTGCAAAGGTGATGGACGAGGTCGACAAGGAGACACCGACGATCAATCCCAACGATTTTGCCGGCATAGGTGATTCGGACGTCGATGAAAAGACGGGCATTCTGGGTCGTGCTATACGCGACGGGAACGCGGCGGCGCCGGTTCTGTTGCACTGTAGTGCCGGTGTCGGTCGCACGGGTGGGTTCATCATCGTGGACGCCATTCTTGACGCGATTCGAATGGAATTGCGGGAGTTGTATACCAGTGGACGGGGTCACGAAAGCCCCGCTCTAGCGAGTGCAGTCGCAAGTAGGAGCGGCAGCGCGAGTGCCAGTGAAAGCGAGGGATTCCAGGTGCCGACGGGAAGTCTAACCGGAAGCGGCAGTGGAAGTGGTAGTGGAAGCGGAGCCATTGCTGGAATCGCCGCAAGGATACGCGCGGCCAACCTCATGAGTACTGCTCCGACTTCCGAGGACGACGCTATGGATGTGGATCGCAACTACGCGAAGAAGGCTGCCGAGCCTACCCTCAGCCTGCCGACCCCAATGCAGGTGGATGCTGAAATGGAGCTGGGAATGAGCGAGACGCGACGGTGGGCACAACGCGTGGCTGACACCGACGTTGTTTCTGCCTTTGCGCCGTCTTTGTTCCCCAGCTCAGCCACATCTAGCTCGACATCTCTTCCGTTGGCTGCATCGTTCCCTACGACGCCACTTGGAGCACCGTTCCAACTCCAGCCACCCTCACTTATGATACCACGGCCCTCTGACGACGTGCCGATGTCGGGATCGTTTCCGCCAAAAGCAACTTTACCAGCTGTGCCGCTGTCTGTACGACGAGGACATCTCGACCACCGCTTGCGTACAACGTCCGACCCCTCCGCTGCTGGCCCTAACCCTGGCAACTCAAAAGCCGCACCATGGCTTGTCCCGCATACGGAAAACCCAACGCAGACTTTCACCGAGCACGGTCTAGCGCGTTTAGCTTCGGTCGCCTTTCATCGCAGTGTCCGATCGGCCGATAGCGCCGAGGCCACACCAGCGCAAGAGACTCTCAGTGTGCGGCAGGTCGACTACAAGCAGCCGCGGGCTCTACATGTCCACGACGGACCTGAGCCTATACGACTCAGCACGTTGGACAGCCCTATCTCGGAGGTGCTGCAGGACATGCGCGAGCAGCGCATGAGTCTGTGCCAGAGTCTGCGGCAATACGTCTTTGTACATGCTGCCATCATCGAGGGCGCGTTGATGGTTGCGGACGAAGAGCGTGCCCGGGCGAGGGTCGCACTGCATCTGCCGCCGCGCGGTGTGGCTAGTCCTCGTGGCTCCCGTCCACGGTTGATATTGGGCGAGGACACGCAAAGCTCACCGTCGACTGGGAAGCGGTTGGCCAGTCCGACGGAGCTGACGAGGGAGAACAAGATGGGCGAGATTGCCCTCTCCAAGCGCCCTAGCCTCAAACGCAAGCAAGGCAGTAGCGATGAGTATACGCCACCGTTAGCAACCTTCCCTCCGCCTTGATTTCTTTCTTCTAGCTGTACATAGCATCTAATCTACTGACCCAACTCATACATCTTGCTTGTTATCTCACAATTGACCTCTTAGTTACCGAAACACTGGGAGCTGTATCCGTATCCAACACCGCTGTATTTTTATCTTACATACACACGCATTCTGCCATCGCCAGGCGTTCTTCGCAACGGCCGTCGTGGAAATACCTCCGCAGCGCGGAGTGTTGCTTCCGATTCAGACTGTGCTCCCTTGCAATTGTTGTCCTCTGCGAGATTGCTCGTATGATGTACCACTCAGAGGAACACAACTTTCATACCGCAATAATAGGTACAATACCCTCCCAACCTTGTTATTCGATATTTCCCAAACGTCCATTACTTTCTGCGCCTTTAAAGTGGCTCTTCAAGTGCTCTCCATTTCGTAACAATCATCTAGTCTCTTTTACAGACCCCGTAGTCGAAAACTCCTCCGTTACGAGGTTCAGCGGTTCGTTCAATTGAACTGCCCGGCCCACCTCTGCCACCGCCGCTTGGCTCCGAGTCGTGCAAGATACTAAGTACCTGGCTGCTCCGTTAGTTCAGCTGCCATTTACTACTAGTAATATGGGGAATTAAACCTGCTCTTTAGCGAGATGCTCCCCACGCCTCGACGTTGAACGTGAACCCTAGTCTTTTTTACAGACCCCGTAGTCGAAAACTCCTCCGTTAGGGCAACGCGTCTGATTGGCTTATGTAAGCGGAGTTCTTTCCACGCGTCCTAACGCGTCTCTGGCCTGGAGACAATGGATATCCTCTAAGACTTGCCATCTGTGTGAGTTGCCAGCCTTGCAAGAGACAACCCATGAGCGAGAACGACAATGTCGAGCCGCGCAAGATGATCGTCACATATGTCACATAACACCGTTCATTTACCTCGAGCTTTGGAACATGTCGCGGTCGCGAGTATTCGAGCATTTACCCCTCCCAGGGTTTTCAAACGCGTCCATTTGCGCCGCCGACGCGTGTTATCGTCGATGATGCAGTTTCTCCATCTGGCCCCTGGCGCTAACCACAGGACTAACAATCATCCTGGTTCAAGTTCTTTGTGGCGACAGTTGACGATTCACTTGCAGAACCCGCGTTGCTATTAGCGCGTCTGCGAGGGACTGGCATAATCTTGGCTATAGCATCCTTGCGCTTTCCGAGCCAAGGTAAAAAAAAACTCCGCTTGTTACGCTTGCGTGGGTTCGACTGTGGAATTAAGTAGATTCGAAGCTCGAACGGCCTACGCTTGTGACAACAGCCATGCGGGATTTTTCAGAGAGTTCTGGCACAGACCTTCTATTAGAGTCCTACACGATCGGCCACATTGTCGATTCCACCGAATAACCTACAGGGAGTTCACGAAGTTAGTGAATGGAAGCTTTCTAGCTCTTTGCAATCAAGCTGCAAAAAGGTTCCTCCCACCCAAGCAGCGCCATCGCCATTGCTGGACCGCCGACAGCATGCTTTTAGACGCGCTTGGCAAATACGAATCTAGCACATGGCCCGTAGATATGAGCTCGAGAAAAAAGTGGAAGCGCGCAGTGTGGGTATGGTTCTCTGCCAGTGCACGCGAGCTCGTCCAATTCGGATCTGCCGATGAAAGTGGTTGTGCGTTGGGCTGCCTACCTAGTTTGCAGGAGCTAGATTAATGGCTTGGTATTCAAGGATGTGTGGATGTTCGTCGCCGCTCACCCAGACACCGTGCCCTCGCCTGGAAGAACTGCGTTCAAACTTGACCGCAGCGTCAAACGAGCTGCATGCACCGGGTCGGATTATTCTTCGAGACGTTCGCGGAATGAGGGATTCTGCAAGTCGTTTATGCATAAAGAGACCGCTTTCTTGATCATGCCGGCTGCCAACTCCCTTCCTGCATTAGGCCTTGATAAAGACTCGGAGTTGTAGCACGCCGCGTAATGGCACCTGTTCGCCCTCGAAGCGACGTTGGTCAGCTCGGGATGGTACTTGGTTTAAATGAAGAGATGCGATCAGTGGCGGTGCTATCCGAACACACCTCATCAAAACGGTCCACAAAATGTTCCTGGACATTCCGCAAGCAATTCTGACTCAAAATATTAGCTCTAACATCCATTCTGTGCAGAATATTCACCCGGATAACGTCCAAAAATGGACGCATAGGGGTTCGAACCCTAGACCGCATACAGACGAGGGGTTGGAAGCTTTACGCGTCCAGCCACTTTGCAAAGCATGAGTGATACCACTACACCATACGCCCTTCTGGTTGTTTTGAGATCATAAATCTAGTGGTGTATCTTAGCCTCGCTGCCAGTGCGACCCCTCATATCATCCCAAGACCCGCCGCACTAGTAATTTAGCTGTGAGTACCTATTGCCTTAAATCTCTCTTGACGTCCGAGTCTTTACGCCTGCAGGCAGTAGTAGTCACTCTTGTCATCCTTGGAATCCACAGCCCAGTCCTGTTTACCCTGCTGCATCTGCCCAGCACTGCCTGTCCAAGTTAGGGCTCGGCACCGTACCGTAAAGTACGGTAGTACGGCTGTAGCCGTACCGTACTCGTACCATGCTCGGTGCTGCCAACCACCACTAACCCCGTACCGGAACCGTACGGCGCCGAGCCCTAGTCCAAGTCTGGCCAGTGGCAAGCAGGCTTCCAACATCACCAAGTTTTGTGGGTTGAGTATCGTTCATCTTATCTCATCTATATCTTATCTCAGATCTACCCCTGGTGGCGTTAACGATTCTCTTCTTGCTACAGGTACGACGATACCGTACACTCACTCATATTTCACTAAACATTCTCTTCTTGCCACAGAACAAATATATTTTACACTTTTGATACTCGTCTCTTATGCGGGCCCGTTTGGAAAAGTATTCAAAATGCGATATTTTCTGTAATCTCTCGATATTTTGGTATGTGTAGATTTTTTTCGCGGATGAGTGAGATTTGCGCACAATTTTTGGATGTTTGTCTTGATATTTTTTGAGGTTTTCACCCGATGTTTCTGGACTTGATGCGATATTTGAACAGAGCTCGATGTTGCGAAGAACATCTCGCGATGTTCGGCAAACATCGAGATTTTTGCGTCGGTTCCGATGTTTCGTTGAAATGGCCGGGAGATGAGAGGTGCCTGAGCGCACGCATTTACAAGCACTACACGACCACCTGACGCCTTGCCTTGGGCGTTACGAACCAGCTATGTAAATCAAATGGCCACTCGAGCCGCGGCTCTGTCCGCACTGAGTACGGCTGACAATCCCTTCACTGGCAGGTACTCCTGTACAATGATTCACCCACTGACTCGCATGCAGGAGGTGTTCGCGCCATCACTAGTGTGCCCCGTGGGCCGTGAGGAAGAAGCCAAGGAACAAGAACAGCTGTGAGACGCGTCGTACTAGTACATGCACTGTAATCTTGCCAGTGACCATCAGTCTCAGATTGTTTGAAGATGGGTGCCGGTGGTGCGCCTAGTGCGGTGGAGTGAGAAGCCTGCTCTGCCGGTGCCGTCACGGTTTCCCGCCGGGCCGGTGCGAAGGCCCGGTCGTCGATCTCCAATGTGTAGACTTGGTGCAGAGTCACTGCAGACCCGCAAGGGAAATCGAGGCGGAGAATATCGACCACCATCCCAAATCTCCTTGTCTTGTTGAACGAAAATCGCACAAAATCGAGAGTTACGGAATAAATATCGCATCAAGTGCACAACATCGAGCGAAAAGCTCAAAAAAATATCGAGACCCTCATCCAAATATCCAGCAGAAATTTCACTGATTCCTCAGAAACATCGACTCCTACCAAAATATCGAGAAACTCCTGAAAATATCGTGTTTTGAATACTTTTCCAAACGGGCCCGCATAGTCTCTTGCCGCATCGCCGCGCCCAGTTTGGTAGCAACGACTGTTTTTCCCACTAAACCTTGCGCCTCCGAGGCTCCACGAACGCGTCAAACAACGACAAGTACCGTACATGCTAACGAGCAATTTATTTAAATAACAAGGCATCAAGAAGACACGTCTAGAGCAAGAGTGCTAAGTTTCGAGATCCCCACAAACACGTCCAGCAGTGCTGAACACGCGAATGGTGGCCGCTTTTCCCGCGCGATCTCCTTTACCGCGTTTTCAACTTGGCCTCGGGCTGCTCGGAGACGTTCTAGTTCGCGTTTGAGGAAATCCACTCGCGTTTGCTCAACTATCACATCCGTCGCAAGGATTCCGATCGCAACTAAAGAAACTCCTTACCGAATATCCGATCTTGCAAAGACAAGTCTTCGTCGTCGGGAACGCCGGCGTGAAGTGCCTTGAGCGCTTCGATGATCACACGTTCCTTTGTCAAGTGGACCGAAATTTCTCGGCGAATATCCAAGAACTCCAAGGACATCTTATCGACTATATCTATGGTCGGGAGGTTACACAGTTTCTGCCCAAAATCCAACGAACAACTTCACCATTTGGATTTTGCATATAACCACCCAAGCCGGGAATTGGTGAAGGGGAGGGTGACTGAATGGTGTTGCGAGTTTCAAACATATTCTCAAAGTCCGAAAGCACTTGCCATTTCCATTTCTTCATCGATATGCGCATCTTCTTCCAGTTCGTCGCCGATGATCTCGCCTTCAAGTGGCGCTGTAGCTGCCTGCATCGGCATAGAAATGAATCCAACAACTCCAAAAGACGGCTCGGAAAGGATACATACTGGGCCATTGTTGTCTATCTCACCAGGCGACGGGTGCCTGGAAGATGGAGCAGACGAGGCAATCGACTCGGAATCCCTACACTGAGTCCGAATCGACTTGAGTTGGCCGCGTCGGATTTATGAGAGGACGCCGCTGTTTACTCACCGAACGACCAAATGGCTCACTCGGTCTAGATGCTGACGGTTCGGCTTTGTCTACGATTTCTGAAGTTGGCAGGGTGGGTTCTGAAGAAGTCTGAGGTGTACTCGGAGAGTGTGTGCTTTTGAAGGAGCTGAGGATGGGAGGACGGTGGGCGACAGGCTCAATAGAAGAAAATTCAGAGGGTTCAATGGCCTGAGCGGAAGGAAGAGACACGAAGTGCGCCCGAGGCAGTAACAGCGGTGCGGACGGCGGAACGATAAAAGCGGCAGGTGGGTTCGAGCTGGTCCCATTCTCGACTGCAGCTGGAAAAAATGGGAAAGCGACCATTCGTGCGTTGTCCTGGATTAACCCAGTGGGACGCGGCTTGCTTTTAGCTTGAACCTTCATCTCGATGTGCTCGCTGTTGAAACGATCTGAGCATTATAGACGAAGAAATACAATTAAAACTCACATTGAGAAACCGATAGCGCAATCTTTGCTTAGGAGCTGCTTGATTTTGGTATCAAGTGTAGCGTGCAATACCTACGTTTGAATTGTCATGAAGTCTCTGGATATTGCCGGACCAGGCCCACCGAATCCCTGGTGGTTTCCCAAAAGAACTCGACGCCGGTTCCGGGGATAAATTTAATCGTTGCCGCCTTGGGATGAGGAATTTTGAGCGCGGTAAGGTGGGAACGTAGGAGGTCAACGCCCTCATCTCGCGACGGTGGCCTCGTGAAGTCGACAGGATCGCTGGGATTTTGGCGGTATTTTATATGCAAGTAGAGCTCTATGTCTTGCCCCATGTTAGCGCAAAAGAAAAATGGTGGTGGGAGTCGAAGACAAGAAGTGCGTTGTGACTGTCCGATCGAGTTCAGGGTCGCGGCCATAAGACGTCATAAAAGACTACAGCGGCTGAATGAATGCGCAAACGAAGCGCATTGCTCTCCGGACTTATAGTTACGGAGTATCTACAGCGTCTCGTTCGTGAGCTTAGAGATTTCTGCAAACGCGTCCAAGAGAGCAGGAACCACAAACGGCGCTCTGCACTCTCTGCGCACGTCATCTGCAAACCTTTCAGCTTCCTTGCGCCGGGAGCGTTCTTCCGCCAGTTGCGCTTCGACCCGCAGCAAACGCACTCTGACCGCTTCAGGGATTTCGATGAGTTGCATGCGAGTAGACGCTAAGTTAAAACAGCTTACTGGTATCGCTGGCTATATCCACATCTGAAGCAGTATCATCCACACCTAGCGCGCGAAGTTCGGCCAGGATCGCACGCTCGCGCATCACCTCTGCATCCATCCGCCTACGGATGTCTGAAAGCTCTCGCTGCAAAGTTTGGCCATCCGTCCGCTGGTAGCTCATTTTGGTCGGACTTGCGTCCGACGTCGATTTATATCGATCCCGCCTCCATATTCGGGGCGATGTTTCTTTGCTAGACTGAGACGGAGCCAGTGAGTCAACATCCTGAGGTGAAGCTTAGAGACCGATGCAGACGGCTGCAAGGAATCTGGCTTACAATGACCTCCCCCGCGCCGCGGTGGTACTAACGACTGGTTCTCAGGAGATGGTGCGGAGTGAGCAAGGGGCTTACCGGCGGTGGAATTGGTATATCGTAGATAGGCTCAGACTTGACTTTCACCGTGTGCTGTATCTGTGTAAGATCAGGAAACAAAATCATTGGGCTCACCTCCGACGGTCGATCCCAGGACAATTTTGAACCAGAAGCGATAGACTGGTAGCAAAAGTAAGCATAGATGGAGAAGTATGACGGGCTCACATCTCGTCTGGGTCGGGTTTGGTTGCTAGACGCAATGCTCTGCATACTATCGCCGGAAGGTGATTGCGGTCTCATTGGCACAGCGAAAAGACCTGCGTCTGGCCGCCAGTCAAGGGTATGCGAGCTGAAAGCTGGCGTTACTCGAAGAGAGAACAAAATGCAGCAAGCCATACGACGGGGAAGGTAGAGTCTCCGCCTCGCGGACAGAAATACGTTCACTATCAGCAACGTGTCATCGATATCGAAATGAACAGGATGAATGCAATACATGGAGAGCGACGCGATTGTACGTCGAAAGTTTGTGCTCTGGTTCATCTCAGTATCGAGAGATCTGGCTGTTTGGTGTATTGGCTAGAGGCTCGAATGAATTTACGAGTGGGCCACACATCCCCACTTACGGAGTCTGGTAGACATGTCCAGAAAAAGCGCACGGTGCCGGGCCAGACGACGGTGATATTGGCCTGTTTAGGGTGAGGTGAACCGAGAGCAGAGAGGTCTAGTGCGTTGGTAAGCTCGTTGGCGCCGGTACTTGATAGGACGAGTGCCTTGTCGGATTACAGGAATTGCCTCGTCAGCTGTTGCAATGGCGGCTTTCGAGCTCGAAGCCTTGTATGTTATCGTAACTGTGATGTTCACTTCGGAAACCATGGTACGCGCGCTGAGTGA